TAAGCAACAAAATACATTGTGTATATTGTTGCGTAACTGAGAGATACTCCCAAGTGTATAAAAATGTTTTATTGATTCCAACGCCACTTTTCCGATATGTTGCTACTTCGTGTGCTGATAATTTGATGGTTGTTCATTTCCGCTGGGATTACTATAGAATTCAAAGTTTTGTTGGCTTTTATCTTTAAGATGTTAAAATGTTTTTATTTAAACATCTTGAAGGATTGGGAAACGGTTTGAAAAAGTTGGTACGTGGACGTCCGGATGTAGATTTTGTACGTGGTAACGATAACTCCCAAAAAAATTGACGTATCAAGTTCGAGTTTTTTTTATTAGCTTCAGAATTACATCAACTAGTTTGCTATTTCATATCAATAGCCTTTTTTTTTTTTTTTTTGCGGATGGAAAATCATCAAATGACGCCTTTCGCTCTGGGTGGAGCGGAAGGGAGTGTCAGACTTTTACTGACTAAAAACCATCCGTGTTCCTTCAGTGCCCTTACGTTCCGGAGCCGCGGTATCTCTTTCGAACAGCCCGCAGCCCCGGCAGGCGTCGGCCCTTGCGGGCCCCTTCACGCTGCTGACAGCTCTTTGAGGCGCCTATCGCCGCTACGAGGACACGGCGGTGCTCCGCCCAGGCAGGGCACACCTCCACGGTGTGCTCCACCGTGTCCTCCGGTCGATCCTCGCAGTGGGAGCACCCGGGCGTTTCCTCCCGCCCGATTCGGTGCAGGAACCTCCCGAACACACCGTGTCCGGTGAGGACCTGCGTCAGGCGGAAGGTGAGGACGCCGTGGCGTCTCTCAAGCCACTCCTCAAAGAGGGGTCTTATTGCCGCTATAGTGGCGTGCCCAGCACGGGGTTGCGACAGTCGCTCTCTCCATGTCGCCATGAGATCATGCCGGAAGTCTGTCCGCTGCACGACAACTTGCCGCGGCAGCGGGGTTTCCCCCCGGCATAGTGCCTCCGAGCGCCATTCGTGCAGGCGCGCGAGGACTATCGCCTCCAGATCCCATGGCGGCAATCCGGCAAGGAGGCAAGCTGCCTCGCGGGAGATCGTGCGGTAGCCGCGAACCATTCTTACGGCAACCACCTTTTGGGGCGCGTTCAGGTGGTGGACGGCAAGCCGCGCCAAACCACGCGCCCACACCGGGGCCCCGTAAAGGGCCATGGACCGCACAATCCCCGCGTAGAGCCTCCGGCAGGAGGCGTTTGGCCCCCCCAGGTTCGGCAGGAGCCGCCTGAAGGCAGCCCCGATCCGTTCCAGTTTGGGAGCCAAACGTCGGAAGTGCTCAACGAAGTTCCATCGGCCGTCGAGGACGAGTCCTAGGTACTTCAACGTCGACTCGACGCCGATGGATACCCCTCCTACCATCGCTGAGGATCCCGGTGGTGGCCTGTTCCGAGGACCATGGAAGTGCATGGCCTCGGACTTGTGCAGAGCCACCTCAAGACCCAGCTGCCGGATCCTCTCAACGACTATCGCAACCCCGCGTGTCATATTTTCCGCCGCCGCCTCGTAAGACCCCCCCTTTGCCAGTACCAGCGTGTCGTCAGCGTAGCAAACTACGCTGACGCCGGTAGGGAGGTCGGCGCGCAGCACCCAGTCGTAACCGATGTTCCACAGGGGCGGCCCCAGAACCGAACCTTGTGGGACACCGCACGACATCTCTCGCCGGTTCCACTCACCGTTGCGACCGGGGTAGATGACGGCCCTATCCGTCAGATAGTCCCCGACTATACGACGGAGATAGGTCGGCACCCGGTGATACCGGAGTGCCTCCCTAATGCAGCTCCAGGGCATGGAGTTGAAGGCGTTGGCGATGTCGAGAGACATTAAACTGGTAACATTCATTGCTATGCGGATGACAGCACTGGTGATGCTCTATACACCGGCCGTGCCAATATTTCTCGGGAAAACGTCGCTGAGTACCGGAACAAACTTGTGTCTGAAGTCGAGTCTTTGCTGAACAAAGTCTCGGATTGGGGGCGACTAAATCTAGTCCAATTTAATCCTCAGAAGACACAAGTTTGCACGTTTACCGCTAAAAAGAACCCCTTTGTCGTATCTCCTCAGTTTCAAGGCACTCCCCTTCTTGCCTCAGCCAGTATCGGTATCCTCGGAGTCGACATATCGAGTGACGTGCAGTTTCGTGGTCATTTGGAAGGGAAGGCCAAATTGGCCTCTAAAAAGCTTGGCGTGCTCAGCAGAGCGGGACAGTATTTCATGCCGGCACACCGCCTGCTACTTTACAAGGCGCAAGTTCGGCCTCACATGGAATACTGTTCCCATCTCTGGGCAGGGGCTCCCCAGTGCCAGCTCCTTCCACTTGACCGCATCCAACGCAGAGCGGCTCGAATTGTCGACGACCGAGCCCTTTCCGATCGGCTCGATTCATTGGCACTGCGAAGAGATGTTGCATCCCTTTGCATTTTCTTTCGCATCTACCATGGGGAGTGCTCTGAGGAATTGTTCGGATTAATCCCAGCCGCCAAATTTCACGAACGCACATCGCGGCAGAACTCCCGATACCATCCACAACATCTGGATGATTGGCGGTCCACCACTGTGCGATTTAGAAGATGTTTTCTTCCTCGCACGACCTCCTTGTGGAATCGATTACCATCAGCGATTTTTCCGGACCGATACGACTTAGGGACCTTCAAGAAAAGAGCGTACTCCTTTTTAAAAGGCCGGCAACGCATCTGCGATTCCCCTGGTGTTGCAGTTGTTCATGGGCGGCGGTAGTCACTTACCATCAGGTGAGCCGCATGCTCGTTTGCCCCCTCTCCTATAAAAAAAAAAAAAAAGAACACCGCCAAAACAACCCCACCCCCCCTGGCCACTGCATGTCCGTCGTGAGGGCTCTCACGCGCATGATGGCGTCCACCGTAGAGCGCCTCTTGCGGAAACCAAACTGGTGTTCCGCAAGATCCGGCCCCGTCCCCGCAAGGTGCTCGGCGAGGCGGTTTGCAATGACTCTTTCAAAGAGCTTGCCCACCTCGTCGAGCAGCACCACGGGCCGGTATGCGGACGGAGAGTCCGCAGGGCGCCCCGGCTTCCGAATGAGGACCAGCTTCCCCGTCTTCCAACGAAGCGGGAATTGGCCTCTCTCCAAGCATGCGCTTAGGAGCCCCTCCAGTAGTTAATTATCATGATCATCATCAACATCATCATCACAGCCCTTCATAAGTCGACTGTTGAAGATAGGCCTCCCCCAAGGAATGCCTAGAAGCACCTGAGCTACCTGCATCCATCGACTTCCTGTATGTCTTACCAGGTCGTTACTCCATCTGGAATCGTTAATGCCAATATCTATATATTAGCGGATGCCCGGCGTGTGCTACTACCTTAAAAAAGAAATACATTTTAAAAAGAAATGTTTATTCATTAACGTCTATATTTAGCGTTTTTTCTTATTAGTCTAAAACCATCTTCGCATTATTGCCTTTCTACTTAAACCAGTTTCGGGTACATCAGTTGGATAGTTTAAAGGTCTATAACGGAAATTGATTGAAACTTATTTTGTGTTTTATATATTATATTGATTAGCATTAACTACCAATATCTCGATAATTAACAAAAATAAATGAAATCAACATTAACTCACGTACATACGCTTTACTATTCTGCTATATAATGTATCATAATAATTCATAGGTACGCAAGCAATCCAATTATATATAGTATAGCATAGTGTGAAGGTGTCCTTAAAATTAATGCAGAGCGATATTGTTGTCCTATATAATTCATGCTATATTCTATATAATATATTATAGAATAGCTTGAACTGAGCTTTAATCTGTATTATTACTGATATGTTCATATTTACAAAATTTTATTAGCATTATTGATGTGGAAAGTTAAGTTCGCTAGTCTTGCTGAAAAAACAATGAAAAAAACTACGTGGTTCTTACATAATTTGTATGGTCTAGTCCTTTTTGTTTTGCAGAATCACACATTTCTCACAATTATTTATGACTTCAAAATTATGTTTGCTTAACCTAATACTCAAATTTGCCATACGAACGTTGCTGCTGCAAGTATTTGTGATATGACGGGCCTTAAAATTAGTTAATATAAACACGATAAAAACCATAAAAGGCGGTAGACGGCTAGGCGGCTATAGCGTGCAAGAAAGAGGAAAATTCCTTATGGCAAGAAAGCAAGATAAAAAAAGACAATCTCATGAACCTGTGACTGATTTTGAATGACAGGCCGTCACAAGTCGGAACGCAAAGAATTAGCTTCTCAGTACTTTGTATTTTTTTTAATCATCGCTTTATTTTTAATAAATACAATTGCCTTCAACAATGGTTAATTGTTCTGTGAGTGGCTGGGGTGATAAGTGGATTAATCCTAATAATTGCAAATTTCACAGGTTAATTTTGAGGACGTCGTCACTGCTATGATGCGTTTATCTAAGGTAAAAATTTATGTTTTACACTGTTTAAATCAAAAAATCTGCGCAAATATGACTCTATGAGAGATGACTACATATATGTGCCATTTACTGTAGAGATATTCGCTCCGTGGGCTCCACAAGCGGTGAAGTTCCTAAAGGAACTCTTTCCACAACTGCTTATCGCTGCTGGTGATAAGAGGGCTGGTTCTTTTTTCGCTCAAAGGCTAAGTATAGCCATTCAGCGAGGAAATGCAATCAGTGTTTTTGGCACGATACCACAAGGAGTAGGATTGTTTAATAATTTAAATTACATATAAATATTAGTTATTTTTGAAATTATAGTTTTTTAAATTGTATATTTTTAATAAAAATTCTATATATTAAAAAGTTTTTAGTAACTTGCTTTTTAAATATTGAGTATGTATAAAAATAATTTTGTTCTAAAATATTGTACTGACGTTTAGTACTGACTTGAACTTGTCAAATACATTTCAAATTAATGTCTCACCGTGTATATAGTTATTCAAAACGACAAAAAGTCTTAGATCTCATTAATTAATAAAGAGAAGAAGAAAAAAATAATATTCTATGCAAAATGAATGCATCAAAAACAGTATCAGATAAAGAGTTTTTGGACGCTATAAAAACGTTATTACGAAACAGTGGTTACTTAAACAATGTACAAGCGGAGGTAACATAGTGCATAATTTACTTAATAAACGTAATTTATTCTGTATTATTATTTTATAAATAATGAGTGTTTTAATTTGCCGTGTGATGTTGGTCTAAGAGAATCTCTCATCGCCTCTTGTCCCGTGGCTAAGGCAAGTGGTGACTATGAAAAACCCATAGACAGACTATAGATAGATGGCGGTATAACTATCTTGCGTCACCACAAATAGAATATAGATTATTCTACCATGGGCGATCAGCAGCGTCAAAAAGCGAGATATCTGGTACTACGATCGCCAATTCGATACCAAGAGTAGATCCTCCTAACGTGAGAGGCCCATGTCCAACAGTCAACTTTTGCAGGCAGATGAAGGAGATGAAGTGTTTTTAATGTGTTTACAAAGAAAATTTAACTTCAAGCATACATCGTTAATACACAATCAACGGATGATTCAGATTACTTTCATATTAATTCAAATTTAACTATAATTTCGCTTTTTAAATTATTGCCGTTTCGGGGTGTCGTAAAAGAATAGAGACTACATCATTCCATTCCATTATATGGGTATCGTGAGTGACGATTGTTAGAAATGCTAAACATAAAGAAATTAATATTTTATAACATACTCGTTTGTCGCCCTTATTATTAAAAAATGTTCTTATTTAAAGATATTAAAATTACAATATTGTGTATATTATTAGCACTAACACCGTTAACTTCAATACCATTTACTAGAAATGTTACATTTGACGATAATATGATAAGTATCACCTCTAAACGAGTCAATGTTAGGAGAAATAAATTCTGCGATTCTGCTAATCGCTAATTTAATTTTAATTCTGAACCTCTACACATTATATTGTGAATTTTACTTATTACAGATAAGAGGAAAGGTCATTGAAATACTTCAAGAACAACAACGTCACAATAACCAGGATTGTCATAAATTTTATGTTCCTGTGCCACCAGATGAAGTCTTGTTAATTAATGATTTAATAAGAGAATACCTGGAATGGAACGGTTACCTGTATACTACAACTGTAATGACCTCTGAGGCTGGTATGCCTGAAGAGAAACGAACTAGAGTAGAACTTTGTGCGGAAGTAGGAGTAAAAGACGATGAAAAGTCTTCAGCCTTGCCACTTTTGACAAACATAGTAGCCGCGTACACAGAGCGCATAAAACGCAAAATAAACAAAATAAAAAAGGAAGGCTCATAGTGAACTTTATTGGGAATATTATTGTTATATTATTTATATTATAATTATGATATATGAATTTACTATGGAAGTGTTTTATTTATAATTTTCATGGGAAGAAATATAACAAAGAAATTAAAAGTATTTTCATCATCATCATCATCATTACAGCCTGTCATAAGTCCACTGCTGAACATAGGCCTCCCCCAAGGAATGCCACAAAGCACGGTCCTGAGCCACCTGAATCCATTGACTTCCAGCATGTCTTACCAGGTCGTCACTCCATCTGGTGGGGGGTCGCCCTACACTTCGCCTACCGGTACGAGGCTGCCAAGTATTTTAATTTATTAATATTATGTACACCGTGTATTGGCGTTGTAAGAATACCCACTACCCCATATCATTTCGTGGGTGACGTAAGAGACAACGTAAATGAGGGAAATTTAAACAGGAGATGGACAGCAGCATGTTCCTGATAATAGCTGAATAAAACAAAAAAAAACTGCGGTTGTCAAGCCGCCTGCCAATCGTGGCAACTAAACGTAATTCTTCTTATGAGGCAATCTATGGGGAATTCGTATGTTCAGCAGTAGACTTTTATAGGGCTTAATTTATAGGTAGAATTGAATATTATGTATTAACTAGCTGACTCGGCACACCTTGTTTTGCCATATACATTATTTCTAAGAAATTTTTTTTAGTTTCGTAAGTCGCGATTAAAAAACAGAGGTTGATCGAAGAAGGGTAAAAATTTGAAGTTTTATGTATATTTCAATGCTAAATCATAATAAAATTAAAATAGAAATAAATTGTCAAAAAAATTAAAAAATATTTATGGGTATGCTAATTGAAAAATAGACGTTGGCCGATTCTCAGACCTACCCGATATGCACACAAAATTTCACACACCTTGGAGGTTGGTAACAAACACCGCGACACGAGAATTTTCTTGATAAAATGTTCCTCTGGATACATATCTAATAGATAGTTATCCAGAGGAACATTATACTTTGTACAGGGGATTGAGAGAAAAAATTACTGTAGTTTAAGCGCTAACATACGTGCTAGATACTTGCCCTAATCCAATACGTGCGCGTTAATTCTTTGTGCCAGTGGTAAGTTAATCTGCGCTTTAACCAGCATTCCGATCTCTAACAGCAATTTTTAAAACTCTGCCAAGATCTACGCCTAAACCATTTTAAGAAATACGATAGTTCTGAAATGCTTAATGTGAATGTACTTTTACTATTGGAGAGCCAGCAAGCAAAATGCTAAGTTAACTTATTATTTCTACAATTCATCAAATTTTAAAAATATGTATATTTCCTTCTCAATGACAGTTGTTTTACAATCAAAGGTTGGGGCCAAACTTTTTTTAGTATTATATATACTTGTGCCAGGAGGCCTGGCTCTTCCATACCTCAAATTAAAGATTTGCATTCCCTAAAATTGACAAAAAAATTGTTGAAATGTTAAAAATATAAATATAGTACTGATAGGAATATAGTGTAAAAAATAAACAAAAATTATACAAGTTAGGGTAGAAGTCTAAACTATTTTATGTATCTCAATCGGTTTCTTGATTCTGTCCATCGTGATAACCCCTTTGTAAAAGTAAAGCAAGTCCTGTTGTTAGTTTGCATATCTCATCCATTTTGGTGCTATGATATAATTACTTCTAAATGCTTATTGCGGTCTATGAATGTCTAATAACGTAACATCTGTAACATAAAGATCGAAGGAAAGTTTACATTATATACTTTTTACCACAGGCAAATAAATGTCACCTTTGGTTATGGAACGAAGTAGTTTTAGTTTTTTATTAATTATTAGTATTATTTGTATAAGTCAAACACTGGCTCATTATTGTGAAAAATGCAAGGGTTTTTATTTCAATGCTTGCGGAGCTACATGCAGATGTTGTATTCGAAAACTAGTCGAATATTGTCATTCTTCAACTTTTACAAAATGATAACATTTATCCTTTGGATAATCCTTTATCACCAGTGTTCTAACTTTCAGATGAGAATTTTCCAAGTGTCGAAGATATTAATGAAAAAAGTTATAATCCCTTTTAAATTACTTTCCAACACAAAATTAAGAACGCTAATTTGTTGCTTAATTCTTTTTTGGAAATGTTTTATCTACTGATAAATAATTACTTCCAGCTTTGCAAGATAACAAGTTTTTTTATTTCATAATTGCATTTATAATAAATGGTATAAAACTACATAGATAATATATAAATAAAATAGATTTCGCATGCAGTAATGTATCGGTGGGATTGTATATTTAAGTTTCACTAGTGATAAAATCAAATTAAATAAAAAAGCAACCAGTTCATACAAGTGTATATTTCATCAAAGAGTAGTCGACAGACCAGTTTGTCAGCTTGTCGCGTAAATATTAGTAGGCACAAAGCCCGTCCTTTGTAGGTTAAATTTATTTACTAAACATTTTAGTAAAATATCTTTAGTGCCAAAATCCCGGTTTCCATATAAAGAACGTTCTAATACATATAGGCCTTTGACCGCAAAGATTTCGAAACAAACGTGCACTAAGCATTGTAGTAGCGATCTGCTGTAATGAAATTATATTATCCTACTTAAAAGTCTTTCCCAAATGTTAATGTTAAAATGCTTTAAATGTTCTTTTATTCCCATTTTGTGTAGACACTAGAATGACAAAGATACGAAGACCGTTCTTGCTGTTCACATCGTGATGCAGCAAGAACGGTGATTGAGTCAGTCTATCTTCTAGCATTGTGATTATTTTAGTTCATACTTTTTCGAACGATAATAATTGATTATGAATGTTTTTTATATTTAATAATAGAATGAAGTACTAAGCAAATATAATTAATTTTCAATTACATTTGTATGTAATTAATGTTTGGACCTTATACCAACTTGTTATAAATTATACAGGGTTATTTTTCAGAGTTGGCTACTCGTTGAAAAATAACCCTGTAATATTTTGAGCTTGAGTTTCAACTATTTAAATAATGATATACCGTTATTGCAGTTTTTGAAATTAGTAAATAAGACATTCTATATTTATTTGAAATTATCCCAAATTAAATGTGATTTATGGGTAACAACGTTTTTGCTTACCCATCGACCCTCATAAATGTGTGCGTGCGCAGTAAAATCAGTTAAAATAATGCATTATCACACATGTTGAAATTAAAAGATAAAAGGTAAGAGTTATTTAGATTTTTTAAAATTAATAGTTCTTCACCATTTGCGTATATTACTCATTTTGAAAATTCTCTGCAAATTTAGCCGGTTATTGCAAAATAACTCTGTATATTACTAAATAGGCATTATCTTAGACGTGATTCCTCCCCCTGTGGCGGTAAGTGAAGTGTAGGGAGGCCCCACTATGTTCAGCAGTGGACTTGAGCTGAGCTGTTATACAATACAATAACTTTATTTCTGACGTCATGAACTTAAAAATTAAGAACATTGGCAAATAGCAATATATACCTAAACTTATAAATATATCTGTACTTATAAAATATCAACATAACACTATTTAGGGAACTTTCTTCTTTGGCACGTCCCTGTATCGGCGAACCACTACCCCAGAGGGCCAGGAATCGGGAGCGAGGAATGTCTCTTCATATTTTGTAGCAACCTGCAGTAGGTAGTAGTAGTAGGTAGTTGGTAAAAATAAAAGAGAGACAAACGAGCACACAGTCCACCTGCTGGTAAGTGAATTCTGCGGCCAATCTGTGATGAAGTGGATGTTGGGGATGATAGACATCTACATTTACCGCCGATTCAGAATCAAAATGCAAATGCGTTGTCACCCCTGAGGACTAAGATGGAATGCCTCGTTTCCAGCAAAAAGGGTTAGCGGTTCTCTACACTCACCATACGGAACACAGCACCATTAGCTGCTATTTTACGCTGGTATTCTGTGAGACATGCAGGAAGTCGATGGATGCAGGTGGCTCAGGACCGTGCTTTGTGGCATTCTTTGGGGGAGGCCTATGTTCAGCAGTGGACTTGTGAAGGGCTGTAATGATGATGATGAATGATTCTGTGAGAGTGTTGTTCTACCCTGGTCGAGACGACCCATTCGTGCTACAACCATATTATAGCTGCATCGTGGCTCTACCACGTTTAATATACATCAAAGTCCAAAAATAATTTCCAGCACTTTGTCTCAGCACCGACTTCTGAAGCTGTTATGCGGGTATTATTTTATTCATTTAAATTTTTTCTAGTAGGCGCTTAATTTTTATTAAAATAATTTTCCTCGTTTATCGTGTTACAGCATACACTTGTAAGATAGTTAATCAAGCTAACCTTAATGTTTTACTTTTATCATTACGAGTATAACCTGTTTTATATGCCATATATCTTTATAAACTGACAAGTGTGTAATGTGTGCATTCTTCCCATGACCTCGAATTTTTTATATCCCTCAGACATGCAGGTTTCCTCGTGATGTATTCTTTCATCACTGAGCACGTGGTTTAACACATAAATTTTGATTAAAATTTCGAGGGGAGATCAAACCGGTTTGAAATTTATGCGCGCGCTTAGCCTCAGAGCTATCATAGCGCTAAGATATGAAAAATCTAAGATATGAAAGATATGAAAATGGCGTGGCTCTAAGATATAAAAGAAACCTGCGATATTATTGGAGGTTGGCCTTTGAATAAAAAGTGCTTCATCTCTAAAATCTTGTTTCTTGCCGCCTTGTTGTACCTACCTTTTAAGTTTTACTCCTTATAATTTGTTCTTTTTTTATCGTGTTTGTGGTGTACAATAAAGTATAAATAATATTAATAATAATCTTTTATATTGTAGTGTTAATTTCTAATAAAAATATGTTAGCAGATAATCATATTGCTCATGAGCTGCGATGATCCTAGTGAGAATACAAGTCCATAGTTCTTAAATTATTTTATTGTCATCGATTCTTATCGTGTTAACAAACTTTCAGATTATACAAACATCCGGAAGTGGTTGAAATCAGAATATTCATACATACATACGTAGAATTAT